GCATGTTATTATACAATGAATTGGTTACCATGGAGATCAAGGAAGAAATTAAAAACTTCATGGAAACCAGTGAAAACGAACACACAACAACACAAAATCTATGGGATGCAGCGAAAGCAGCTCTGAGAGGGAAATTCATAGCACTACAAGCCTGCCTCAAGAAACAAGAAAAATTTCTAATAGACCATCTAACTTCACAACTTAAAGAACTAGAAAGTAAACAAAAAGAAAACCCCAGAGCAAGTAGAAGGAAGGAAATAGTAAAGATCAGAGCAGAAATAAATGACATAGAGACAAAAAAAAAAACACAAAAAAAAACAATTCAAATAATTAATGAAACAAAGAGCTGGTTTTTCGAAAAGATAAACAAGATTGATGGACCCTTAGCTAGACTCTTCAAGAAACAAAGAGAGAGAACCCAAATACACAAAATCAGAAATGAAAGAGGAGAAGTAACAACTGACACCACAGAAATACAAAGGGTCTTTAACAAATACTGTGAACAATTTTATGGCAACAAATTCGACAACCTAAGCAAAATGGACAAATTTCTAGAAACACAGAATCTCCCAAAACTGGACTGGGAAGAGATAGAAAACTTGAACAGACCAATAACAACTAAAGAAAGAAGATGTAATCAAGACTCTCCCAGCAAACAAAAGCCCACGCCCAGACGGCTTCACGGGGGAGTTTTACCAAACACTCAAAAAGAACACCCATTCTCCTCAAACTATTTCAAAAAATTCAAGAAGAAGGAAGATTTCCAAACTCATTTTATGAGGCAAGCATAATTCTAATTCCAAAAACAGAAAAAGACACTACAAAGAAAGAAAATTACAGGCCAGAATCCCTGATGAACATAGATGCCAAAATCTTTTAACAAAATACTAGCAAATCAGATCCAGTGTTACATCAAAAAAATTATTCACCATGACCAAGTGGGATTCATCCCAGGGATGCAAGGCTGGTACAATATTCGCAAATCAATAAACGTGATACACCACATAAACAAAATGAAGAATAAAAACTACACGATCAGATAAATAGATGCCAAAAAAGCCTTCGACAAAATCCAGCATCCATTTCTGATAAAAACACTCAGCAATGTGGGAATAGAGGGATCATATCTAGACATAATAAAGGCCATATATGAAAGACCTACAGCCAACATCATACTCAATGGGCAAAAACTAAAAGCATTTCCCTTAAGAACAGGAACAAGGCAAGGATGCCCACTTTCGCCACTCTTATTTAACGTAGTACTGGAAGTCTTAGCCACAGCAATCAGAGAGGAAGAAAAAATAAAAGGGATCCAGATTGGAAAGGAGGAAGTGAAATTGTCATTATTCGCAGATGACATGATATTATACATGATATATATATAGAAAATCCTAAAGACTCCATCAAAAATATACTAGACTTAATAAATGAATTTGGCAAAGTAGCAGGATACAAAATTAATGTCAAGAAATTGATGGCATTCTTATACACCAGTGATGAAGCCACAGAAAGAGAAACTAAAAAAACAATCCCATTTACCATCACTGCAAAAAAGTTAAGATACCTAGGAATAAACTTAACTAAAGAAGTAAAGGACCTATTTGCAGAAAACTACAGGACATTGAAGAAAGAAATAGAGGAAGATATAAAAAAGTGGAAGCACATACCTTGTTCATGGATTGGAAGAATTAGCATCATTAAAATGTCCATATTACCCAAAGCAATCTATAGATTAAATGCAATCCCCATCAAAATACCAAAGATATATTTTACAGAACTAGAATAAATACTCCAAAAGTTCATATGGAACCAAAAAAGACACTGAATAGCCACAACAATCTTGAAAAAGAAGGACAAAGTAGGTGGGATCACAATACCGGTTATCAGGTTATACTACAAAGCTATTGTAATCATAACAGCCTGGTAGTGGCACAAGAACAGGCATATAGACCAGTGGAAGAGAACAGAAAACCCAGAAATTGACCCAAGACATTATGCTCAATTAGTATTTGATAGAGGTGGCAAGAACATACAGTGGAGTAAAGATAGCCTCTTTAATAAATGGTGTTGGGAAAATTGGACAGCTACATGCAAAAAAAATGAAACTAGACCATCAATTTACACCATACACAACAATAAACTCAAAATGGATAAAATACTTAAATGTGACTCACGAATCCATAAAAATCCTAGAAGAAAGTGTAGGCAACAAAATTTCAGATATCATATGCAGCAGATTTTCTAAGTCACCAGAAACAAAGGAAAAAATGAACACATGGGACTACATCAAACTCAAAAGCTTCTGCACAGTAAAACAACCATCACAATGGAAGGGGACCCCACTGTATGGGAGAGCGTCATTGCCAATGATACATCAGATAAGGGGTTAATTTCCAAAATATATAGAGTGCTCATACAGCTCAACAAAAGGAAGGCAAAGAACCCAATTTAAAAATGGGCAGGGGAACTAAATAGACACCTCTCCTAACAGGACATACAAATGGCTAAGAGACATATGAAGAAATGCTCAACATCACTAATCATTAGAGAGATGCAAATTGAAACAACAATGAGGTATCACTTCACACCTGTCAGAATGACCACCATCAACAAATCGTCAAACAAGTGTTGGCAAGGGTGTGGAGAAAAGGAGACTCTAGTACACTGCTGGTTGGAATGTAGACTGGTGCAGCCACTATGGAAAACACTATGAAATTACCTCAAAAAATTAAAAATTGAATTGCCATTTGACTCAGTGATCCCATCTCTAGGAATATACCCTAAGAAGCCTGAAACACCAATCAGAAAGAATACATGTACCTCCATGTTCATAGCGGCACTATTTACAATAGCTAAGATCTGGAAACAGCCCAAGTGTCCATCAGTAGACAAATGGATAAAAAAGCAGTGGTACATATACACAATGGAGCACTATGCAGCTGTTAGAAAGAAAGATTTCTTATCCTTAGACGACATGGAGGGACCTGGAGAGTATTATCCTAAGTGAAACAGGCCAAACAGAGAAAGACAAATACCACATGATCTCACTTATTTGTGGAATATAATGAACATAACAGTCTGAGGAACAGGGTAGACCCAGAGACGTGGAAGTAGTGTACAGACTGACAACCCTCAGAAGAGGGGGTGGGGAGAGGGAAGAGATAAACCACAGAAGTTATATGCATATACCCATAAGTGATGGACATGGACAACAAAGCTGGGGTCAGGGTTGGGGGGATAGGGAGGAGGGTGTCAATGGGGAAAAAAGGAGAAACATCTGTAACAAAAATAAATTAATAAAAAAAATTTTTTTAAAGTCTGTCAAGGGGGGAAAAATCACTTATGATTCATTTGTCAAATTATATATCTGGTGTACATGCAGACTTTAAGTTGTTCAGTAAGCAAATACATTACCAAGGCTCGATGGCAAAGGCCCAGGAAGAGCCAACTGGGAGCCAACTAGACTAGACCAGAAAGGGTAGGTGGATGTTTTATTTTAATACATAGGAATTAAAAATGACCTGTCTATCTTATGAATTTCATTTTATTTGAAGCCATTGAAAATCTTTAGCAGACAGTACCAATAGGCTTTTTGGATAAAGAGTCTATATATCTATTTTAGTTTAATTAGAAGGTAAGTAGTGTGGGGGGCATGTGGAATGGGCAAGAGGCAGAATGGTAATTCTGTCTTACATTAAATTTGGGTAGAAGGTTCAGATGCTGGAAATTGATGATGGGCAGGGTATGTTTTGTAAATTTAAGAAATTCAAAAAAGTGGAGGCGGCCGACTAAAAACGATGGGATCCAGAAAGACAGCAAGTCCAGGAATCGAGTTTAAGGACCTTTTAAAACAGGGGTTGAACGCTCAGTATGTCAATCCCCGTGTTCTTTGTCCTGTACCGCAATGGGAAATGATAGCAATTTTCCATTGTGCTGAAGCACAGGTGGGTGATGGCGCTGCTTATGGGATTGTTATGTAGGAAAAATGAGCTCCTACATTACTGAGTTGATACAGAGATATAAATATCTACAAATAAATGATAGAAAAATGAACATTGCTATGCCAGGTGCTATGAAAGCAAAGCTGTGTAAACTGCCAGTACTCTCTTCAGGATCATACGAATTCGTTGGGGCAAATGCTCTCACAGCAAGACAGCCACAGTGCAGAGCGCCCCGCAGCTGCTGTGTCAGCAGCTGGAAAAACAACGAGCTCCAAAGACGACAAACTCGAGTGGACTAGGGTGGGTCGGAGGAGCTCGGCCTAGGAAGTGACTACACAAACCTGGACTTCAGAGTCTGATGGGATTCAGGGAGGACTCAGGGAAGGTGGAGGACTTTCTAACGTGGAGAACGGCATGCGCAGAGGCAGCCTAAGTGCTGCAGGTTCTTCCAAGTCAAGAAGGAGGTAGCTGGGTGAAAAGAATACTGGAAAGAAGCCTGTTAGCAGCAGACTATGGTGGGCTCAGCAGGGTAGGCTGCGGGTGGATTGACACACATAAGCAATAAGGGAGCCACTGTACTTGAGAGGGTGGTTTAGAGACATTTGTTTAGCTGGGGTTTGAAGGATGGCCTGAGAGGGGGGGACCAAAGGGCGGGGAAATCCATTGGGAAGCTGAAGCAGCAGTTTGGGTGGGTAGGGTCGGAACCCGGGATTAGACTGGTGAAAGTAGACATGAAAAGGAAAGGAGAAATGGAATCAAAACCACATTAAGCATGAAGTGACAGGTAATCATCCAGTCTCTCTGTTGCACTTTTTAAACTTGTACTCTGTAGATTGGGAGCTGTTCAACTGGCAAGTCCTGTCCCACTGGAGTGAATGGTAACCAGGTATTTACTTTGAGTGGGAATAGGACATTACGTAATGCTGTATGACTTGAGATTTAAGCTCATCTTTCGGCATGGATAGCTACTGGGCCTTCCACTGTTGTGTGTATTGTGCCCTTATGGTACAATGATTTCTACTTGGTTCTAATTATTTTTCCCCTTTTCTTTTAAAATAGGCTCACGCGAGAAGAATTTCCAATCCGTACCTTGAACATACTTCTTCTCAGGTATGATTCTTTTCTCTCTTACTGTGTTTTCTGAAGCAGTGATTCACGGATCCTGATGTAGAATTCTTTAGGTATAGCCCTCCCTGTTGCCTCCTGATGGTGCCCTCTCCTTCACCTGGGGATGACACAGCCAAAGTGAGCAGAGATGGCCTGATAACTGTGTCATAATTCAGGATGTTCACTAGGTAGGAAAACAGTATTTTCCCATCGTCCAAGTCCTTTACATGAATGCTTTATTATATAGCAGAGTAATACATAATATACATATCTTCAACTTTCTTTATAGAAACACTATTTTTTAAATGGTGGATATTTTACACTGAAAACTGGCAAGGGGGTTACTTATATGTATTTACTAGTAAACTATCCCTGTATGCTAATTGGTGAGAAACAAGGAGGATGCCTTTATTGTATTGTGTTAAAGAATCAGATGGCAAAGCGTTGCATTTTCAAAACGACAGGAGATAGTGAGCTTTATGAGGACAGGGACCTCTTCGGCCTTGTCCATTGTTGTATCCCCAGCACCCAGACTGAGCCTCATAGCTGCTCATTGCATGTTTTTCTGCTTGACCAAGTGACTGCATATTGGTACCATATTTGTACTCTCTTATGGTGATAGTTTCTGTCATCCGATTAGTTCACGTTTTTCTTCAGCTTTAACACGTGTTAAAAATAGATCATTTTCTGTCCTTTTCCCTTTCTCATAAGGTTGTGTTAAGGAGGTGATAAAGAAAAATGGAAAAAATATAAGGATGGAGTTGAATCGTTCTTGTCAAGTTATAACCAATACATTATCAATTTGTTTGCTTCAAGAGAAGATATATTATATATATATGTGTATATATATTTGCAATTTTTATTAATTTATTTTTGTTGCAGACATTTCTTCTTTTTCCCACCTAGATACCCTCCTCCTGGTCCCGCCCCCAGCCCCACCAGCATTGTTGTCTATGTCCATTGGTCACGCATACATGCAGATTAGTAGAAGATATCTATTTTATAGGGCAACATTTTGTAGGTGCAGAAAGAGTTCACCAAGAAACAAGTAAACAGCCTGGTCAGTGTGGCTCAGTAGATTGAGCATCATCCCATGGACTAAGAGGTCCTGGTTCAATTCTCAGTCAGGGCACATGCCCACGTTGTGGACCTGATCCCCAGTAGGGGGTGTGCAGGAGGCATCCGATCAATGTATCTCTCTCACATCATTTCTATCTCTCTCTCTCTCCCTTCCTCTTTCTCTAAGATATCAATGAAAACATATTACAAACAAGAAACAGCCCTGGCCAGTTTTGCTCAGTGGTTAGAGCATTGTCCTGCGGTCCAGAGAGACCTGGGTTCAGTTCCCGCTAAGGGCACGTACTTCGGTTGCAGTGTGTCCCCGGCCCTGGCTGCAGGTGGCAGCCACTCGATGTGTCCCTTTCACGTCAATGTTTCTCTCTCTCTCTTCCTCTCTCTCTTTCCCACTCTATCTGAACAAAAAATGGAAAAATGTCCTCAGGTGAGGATTAAAAAAAAAAAAGCAAGAAACAAGTAAACAGATATGAACACATACCCCTTGTATGTAGTAATTCTCATGAGCCTTTACTGACGAGGACAGTTTCCTGTCATTGAGCTGCTTTGTGCAGAGCGTTGCACGCGGGAGCAGGGTGCCAGCTATAGAGGAAGGAAGAGTATTAAGGGACATAAACCTCCCTGGATCTGAGGAACACCCTCCTTCATCCTTCAAGAATCAGAGACTCATATGGGCAAATTAGAAGATTAAGAAAATAAGTTAAATGACATTTTTATTTTCTAGATGGAATCAACAAGTAGATGAAACCAGGAGTCTTGGAATTAACTATGAACTCTGAAGCTGAGCAAAGCTTCAAAGCGAAGCAGAGAGCAGCCTGCTATCAGGTTGTGTCGTGGTGCAAGATGCTCACCAGATAGGGAAAAATTAGTTTTCCGTCTTCGGAGACCTTCACATGAATGTTGATCAATATGGCAGGGTTAATGTATAATAAAAATATTCTTCAATTTACCATATTGATAGAAACACTGCTCTTAAAACCAGTGGATATTTTACACTAAAAACTTGTATAAAAAAGATTATTTATAATTATAGTTAAAGCAGTTTAGCATATGGAAAATAGCTATTATAGCATAAATAAACCAATAGCAAAAGTAAAATAAAATAGGTCGTGGTGTTTATAGCTACATAACTGTCTTAAGCTTATGGATTTGGTCATGATTTTTTTTTTTAATCTATAGTGTATTCACAAATTATTGCATTATTGTTCTAAATTTACAGTGAATGTTTGCTTTTTCACACTTAGATTTATGGGGAGAATTCTTCTTGCGCGGGAAGAGCGCTGAGGAATATCATCATCGTCCAGGCAGCTGACCTGATAAAGGACAGAGCCAACTTCAAGGGATTTTACAGGTGACACAGTTTGCTAACATCTCGTCAAAAGTTCTCCTTAAAAAAAAAAGTGTTAAAATCTTAATCTTGATCCCAGAGAGACAGGCTGTATCAATAGTAGGAAGGGTTGGTCAGTTTGTTTAAAGTATCCTTTTGGGTCACTGGTAGTGACTTATCTCTTCTTTAAACTTAGCTAAGTGTTTTGCCAGTTGGATTCCTGGTTCTGAAGTTAGGGTCTGGCAGCCCCAAGTGTGGATGGGTTCCTGAGGGAGCCTCTGCTTTCTCTGAGATGGGACATTTTGTCATTTTATTGGGCACATGCTGCCCTGGGCCATCGGTGCACACAGGTCCCCCTTCAGGAACCTCACCAAGGCTCTGAGAGGACTCTCTGGCAGTCCGTGGGCTTTGAGAACTGTGCTCACCTCCCCAGGTGAGAGTGAGCATCTTTCTTGGGTGCTGTGAGAGGAGGAGGGGCAGGTGGGCATAGGGGTGGCATTATCCACCTTAGCTGGTGAATAAGGACAGAAGCATTAGAGTAAGTGAGTGCATTCGTGGCTGGTTACAGGTGGACCAAGAGAGTGGTCACTGAGAAAGTTTGGAGCACGTCTTTTCATTTTCTGAGTTTGAAGAAAAAACAAATTTTTTTCCACATTTTTATTATTTTTACTTTGAATAAAGATATTATACCACACCAAACAATACCAAGAGAAAACTACAAAAAGAAAATAAAAAGAAAAAATTACTATCATTCATTACCATTATTCTTATAGAAATGAGATTGTGATACCATTAAAATAGGTAGACTACTCAGAATAAGAGACAGCAAAAAAAAAAAAAAAGTAAGATTCCCAAAATGAAGGCTATTTCTTTAATTTAACTAAACTCAGACACGTCTGATTGTTTTCTTTCTTTTTTTAAACAAAAACTGTATAAATCTTTAGGTTTGGTTTTGAGCAAGTTCATAGGATTCATTTTATTTTTTTAAAAATGTATTGATTGATTTGGGAAGAGAGAGATTTATTGTTTCACTTATCCACTTATTTTTGCATTCATTGGTTGATTTTTGTATGTGCCCTGACTGGAGATTAAACCCGCAACCTTGTGTATCTGGATGACGTTCTAACCAACCGAGTACCTGGCCGGGGATGATAGGATTCATTTTAGCTACCACATAAGGCTATGTGTAATTTCTGTCATGGTTCTGTGTTTTTGGTTTTATTTGATCTCTATGCTAAACATTGAAAAAAGAACTGAGAGATGTACATTACTTGGGGAAAATAACCATCCATCCAAGTTAGAACATACTGATGGGAATAGAATGGGGAGAGAACATGTGATTTGCTATTTCAGATTCCCAATGGTCAGGGCAGAACCTCCTTTCATTTAAAATCTAAGAACTGATTAATGTTCTGGGTATAAAGACAGTGTGCTAGTATGATGGCCCAGAATGGATCACTTTCATATATGTCTGGTGGTGAATTAAAGTAAAGTGTTCCCCATGTACCACATGAAAATTACTTTCACAACTGGTCTCCAAACGCCATCACCCCATTTATATTCAAGATTAAGGTTGTGTCTGAACAACTGTGAATTAATTGCTAAAAATGTAACCAGAGACAGAAGGAAGCCAAGAGATAGCAAATGTTCAGCTCCAGAGATTGTTAAAATAATGCTTTGTTATAGCAATCTCATTGTCCCTGTAGCTAATCACCTCCGTAGCACAATGTCCCTACCTAGATTGCCAGTGTGGTTAGATCTACATGTCCTCAGAACAGTTTCTGGATTCAGTACAAGACTGAAAATACACCGGCAGTAAGAACTGCTGTCAGGATTCAGATTGCTCCCTTCCAGCCATCTCTGTTTTCTTCCTCACTGCTGTCCCCTAAATCCTGTGAATTTAGGTATTTTAACTGGATTGTTGCAGGTTTGGTCAGAAGTCAGGGGAGTATGAGTTAAATGCAGAGACAGCTCGCCTCATTATGAACTGATGTCATGGCAGTACTGTGTTTTGGCATATTGACTCAGCCCTGGCCCCAAAACCGAGTGAGCCCTTCCCAATGATTGGGGTGGGGGTGGGGTGGGGGGGAACTGTGGTCACCAGCATCACTTAGGAACCAGTTGTAACTGAGGACTCTCAGGCCCCGCCCAGACATCCTGCCTCAGAATCTGCACCTTAACAAGATCTGTCAGGTAATGCCTAAACACGATTTTGAGAAACCTCTGTCTGAGAAATTTCTCCCCCATCAACTGTGAACAAACATGCACAGGCATCTGTCTAGCCACCTTTGCAATTTAACAGTTGAGTTTATTCAGTAGATGTTTCATTGTGTCCTTTCATATTCCATAGAGTAGGCTGAGGAGCTGTATTGTTTTGAGATTAAGGATTAAAAACGATACAGTGTTTAATTCATGTGATAACTGTGCTTGGAACAATTAGTTTGAAGATGCCGGCTAATTGACAGAGGTGTTGAAGAATTAATTAACACTTTGAGCCTTTAACATGAAAGGTGTCCTATAGAATTAGAAGTTAATATTGGTCTAATTGCCTGTTTTGTTGTGATGTTTTCTCATTTAAAAAACAAAAAACACATCCATTTATGTGACTGTTAATGTTTTTAATGTCTTAATGCTAACCTGCAATTAAACATGCCTGGTATTGCCTTAATTGCCTTAGAGTATCTTACAGTGACACCGAACCAAAAAAAATGTGATGCATTATCAAAAGCTAGAATATTTGATCAAATATATCAGCAGAAAAGCTTACTGCCTTATTTTTTCTTTACCCTAGAAAATGTAGCACCTCATGGCATTCCTTCATATCGTCGGTTACTGTGTGATTTCTCGGTGTTTGTGCCTGTACCAGTCACAAGAGATAGGCAATATTTTTCTGTTATAGGAACACAAATAAAGTTGACATCTTTTGGTCCTTAAATGCCAAATAGAGAACAAACATAGCCATTTACATGATACATCATTAAAAAAACATTTTGGTGACAGTTTCTCATAAGTGAGAGTGGGATTCAATGAAATTTCTACAAATGAAAATCCATATTTCAGAAAGTTTTCTTCTTTTGGTTTTTCATCACAGGCTCATATAGATAGAAAAGTAGGAATGAAGATACTTCTTGTAATGCCAAGATTGGGACATTCTTTGAATATAGTTATATATTTTAAGACAGATTACAAAGAATATTTTGTGTGTGTGTGGTTGGTGGGATCCTTCACACACATATCTGGATTTATGGGTTTTATAATCTGGATTGCCTAGCTAGATTGCTTATATTATATTTAAAAGATTCACAGTCAGATTTATTATTCTTTGAGACAAATTTCAGGATTTAATCTCTGAAAAGGAGCAAACAAAATTCCATACCACGTACTGTCGTCCCAACTTTGTCTAACTTTCTTGTAATTATTTTGTTCTTGTTAAAAAGACTAGATAAAAATCTATAAATGGCTGAACCAGATTTTATCACCACCTGCTTGAGGTTCTTGTCTTACCAAAGCAGAAGCATTATCTTTATATAAAGGACTGCTAAATTTATTTTTTCATTTATTCAGATTTATATATTTTGAGAACTTACCGTGTACCTGGACTGTCCTAGTTGTTGGGGTTAATAGCGAGTTATATATAGTCCTTGTTATCCTGAAAATTATTATTCAGTGAGGAAAGCAGATTTTTCATTCCGAAAGACGTATTATTATTACATGTTAGGTGACTTGAAGAAAAAGTATAAGAGGATTTGATTTCAAGTTTCTCTAAGGAAGTGATATTTGAGCTGAAATCTGAAAGATGAATAAATAAGAGGTACATGTCATTTATTATTGAGTCACCTGTTTAAAAGGATAAGCACATGAGAGGGATGGTATTAAATACCAGTTTTTTGGCAAATAAGTGGCAACCATGTCTCATGTGAATGGCTTTGTTTTTTGTTTTTCTCCAGGAGAAGCTGCGTCGGGTCAGAACTTGTTGACTGGCTTCTAGAACACTGTCCTTTCGTCCAGTGCAGATCTATGGCCAGAGGGGTCTGGCAGCTCCTACTGGACATGGGGATTATGTCATCAGGTTAGTAGCACATGTTTTGAAGGCACAGGGTCATTATTTTATTAAGCTACCAGACCAAAATATACTTGCTTTTATAAAGGATGTTACATTCTGGATGGAAAATTGTTTTTGCAGGTAAATATTTGCATTCTCTCTTTATAAATAAAGTGACAGACCATCTTTTGATTGTATTTTCCTCACACCTTTTGTAAAAATAGTTAGGTACCTTGCTGATTCATAGACGTCTGCCTATAAAGAATCTTCTGCTTGCTCGCCCCCCTCCCTTCTCTATCAAAACACTGCTCACAGTTTCTTTTTTCAAAATCAGTAACATCTTTAGTTGCCCTAAATGTGTGATTTACCTTGTTGTACATAGATTATCATCAGAATCTGATTTTATGAGTGGAATGTGTATGCCGTTTTGATTGGCTAAGTAATCATGAACAGTTAGAGAATGACCTATAAAAATTAGCTGTTTAAACCGAACAGAAAATTAATGTTAACTAGAAACTAAAAGGATGATAGATATCTCTTTCTTAGTTGAGCCTAGGGAATTGAAGAATAGGAGTCAAGTAATCTGATTTTTTTATTTAGCTCTATCACACAGGTGCTGGTTGGTCACTGTGAAGTCCTTTTTTCCATAGGTAATAAATATTAATGGCTAGAGAACATTATAAGGTTCAGAAAGGCATACCCCAAATCCCATTGTAGAAGAGTAAGTAGTACAGATGGAGATGTGGGTATAACCTTAGTGAGTTAATAATACCTAGCACCATCCGGTCGGTGTGGCTCAGAGATTGAGCATTGACCCATGTACCAAGAGGTCACCAGTTCGATTCCTGGTCAGGACACATGCCCAGGTTGTGGGCCCAATCCCCAGTGGGGGGCATGCAGGAGGCAGCCAATCAATGTTCTCTCTCATCAATGTTTCTATATCTCTCTCCCTCTCACGTCCTCTCTCTCTAAAATCAATAAAGGGAAAAAATAATATAAAATAAAATAAAATACCCAGCACCTGATACTCTTATTTAGAAAGTCAGTTACATACCTTTGAGCAATATTATCGGCTTGCTCATGAGGTTCAACAAAAACTTTTTGTGTTAATATTTTTGGAAGAGTCTCCAGGTCTTATTCTTTGAAAATGATGTTTACCAACCTTCATAGCATTGATACTTTGGGCTAGATAAATCTTAGTTGTATGGGGCTGTCCTGTACATTATAAAATGTGTAGTAGCGTCTCTTTCTTCTACTCACCAGATGCAATAGCACCCCCTAGCTTTGCCAACCAAAAATACAGCCAGATATTGCCAAATGTTCCCTGGGTGGTGGGAGGGGGGTGGGCACAATCGCCCTTGTTGAGAGCTGCTGATCTGGAACTCACCACCACATTCGATTTCTGCACCACTAAAGTAGTTACGTGTATTCTCTTGCTTTGGGACACGAAAGCAGTTTCTCCTCGCAGTCTTTGAATTACTATAGATTTCACCTGTCCCTAAAGCAGAAAAATGATGAAAGATGTGAATATGCTGATCAAAGCTTCAAGTAATAAAAACAGATTGGTCAGTAAATCCTTTTTAATTTACTGGGATGGTGAACATGAATCGACTTAGAACATACAATTATAGTCCTCCCCCTGGCTAATAATAATTAGTAGTGCTTTCAGTTTAGTACTTGGTTTATACTTTACAAAACTGATCCACACCTTTTTTCTTCCCAACAGTGGACCAGCATTTATACTTTCAGGACACCTATGTGTTCTATCAGTTTTCATCTGATGAATGCAGCTACTTGTACTGTGAATTTGAACGAGAAGAAGAATGGCAAAACGGTGTCAAACTGTTACTACAGCTTGTGCCTGTCATTCCCACCAGAGATGGCATCTGTGAACTGTAAGTCGATGCTATTTTGTTCTGTTGTTATATTGTTCTCACTTTAAGAATACTTATGTGTCTAGGGATGGTGCTTTGCCCTTTAAGATCACCATCTCCTTTAAAAGGTAATTGTTTTGCCCTGGCTGGTTTGGCTCTGTTTAGAGCATCGGCCTGTGGACCAAAGAGTCTCAGTTTCGATTCCGGTCAAGGGCACATACCTTGGTTAGTTTGGTCCGTGGTCAGGGCCGTGGGAGAGGAAACCAATCGATGTGTCTCTCTCACATCGATGTCTCTCTCTCTCTCTCTCTCTCTCTCTCTGTCTTTGCCTTCCTCCTCCTTCCCTCCCTCCCACTCCATCTGAGACTAAATGAAAAAATATCCTCAGGTGAGGATTGAAAATAATAATAATAAGTGGTAGTTGTTTTGCCCTGGTGGGTTTGGCTAAGCAGTTAGAGCATTGGCCCACTGACCAAAGGGTACATACCTGGGTTGCACTTTTGATCCTTGGCTCCAGTCAGGGTTGTGCGGGAGGCAACCAATTGATGTCTTTCACACTGATGTTTCTCTCTCTCTCTCTCTTTCTCTCTTTCTCTTCCCCCTTCTCCCTTCTTCCCCCTCCTTCCCTTCCACTATCTCTAAAAATCAATGGGAAAACATCCCTGAGTGAGGGAAAATTAACAAAAATAAAATAAAATAAAAAGTAGTTGTTTTATTCCTATTTCTCAGATACGAGTTTTAAATTAAAATAAATTTCTTAAAATTAAGTTAGCTATTAAATGACTTAACTGCCCTGGCCGGTTTGGCTCAGCGGTTAGAGCGTCGGCCTGCGGTCCTGAGAGACCCGGGTTCGGTTCCCGCTAAGGGCATGTACCTCGGATGCAGTTTTTCCCCGGCCCTGGTTGGTTGTGTGGGTGGCAGCCACTTGATGTGTTCCTTTCACATCGATGTTTCTCTCTCTCTCTCTGTTCCTCTCTCTCCCTCCCACTCTACCTGAACAAAAAAATGGAAAAATGTCCTCGGGTGAGGATTAAAAAAAATTAAAAATAAATAAATAAATAAATGACTTAACTATTATTCCATGTCTTGCCAGCCACCATGCTGCGTCTAATTTAAGTATGGCTGTATAAGTAGATGATCTAAATTAGGAATAAACATGATTTGGCTTGAGTTGAGAATAAAATAATAACTCATATCTTATTCACTACCCAAGTCGTGACTCTCCTAAGAAAGAGCCCAACAGACATTTCTGAAAAATAATCTGGAAGCAACATTTGGCAAATTAAAAACACATGTGTCATTATCACACGAAGATACGGAATCACTATCTGATTAAAATGAATTTAAATGAACTCATTAGGGAGGGTTTGGGGAAAAGGACTCGTCATGATACGGCGATTCTGACATGCCTTTGTTTGTCCACACCGTGGATGACGCGCTTCAGCATAGCGCATAGCAGATTAAAAATTTCAGTTAATAACTTTCACATAGTTACATTCCCATTTTGATTAGATTAGTAGGGCAAGTAGTATTATCCTCATCTCATGGGGAAGAATGCAAGTTCAGGGAGAAACACAACCATAACAAAGATAAGTTGCCCTTGTTAAAAAATGACAGTTAATACTGAACAGTTAATGCAGCTTTTGGAAAAGTAAGAGCATCAGAGTACTAATGAGACGTCGTGGTAATGGAAAGATTGCTTGTAGAGAACACATTTTATATCAGAAACTATGCTAAATGCTCTGGATTCATTATTTCATCTTCAGATGAATCCTGTAAGACAGTTATTACTATGTTTTCCTGTTTTGTACGTGAGGAAGCGCAGAAGTCCGGTAGCCTGTTCGGGGCACAGGTGGTGTCTGGGGTGTTTAGGGTTTGTGTGCTTGTCCGTGTCGCTCTAGCGCTCCTGCTTTTAACACCTGCTCCCTGGTTCCTAGGAGTCATGGGGGTCATTCTAGCTTCCCTCGCTGAGGTGGTACAAACGGGAGCTATAAAAATGTTAGATAGCCCTGGCCGGTTTGGCTTAGCGGTTAGAGCGTCGGCCTGCGGTACAGAGAGACCCGGGTTCGGTTCCCACTAAGGGCGCGTACCTCGGTTGCAGTTTGTCCCCAGCCCTGGTTGGTCGTGCGGGTGGCAGCCACTCGATGTGTCCCTTCACATCGATGTTTCTCTCTCTCTCTCTCTTCCTCTCTCTCCCTCCTGCTCTATCTGAACAAAAAATGGAAAAATGTCCTCGGGTGAGGAAAAAAAAAAAAAATGTTAAATTGACTCTGAAATGGTTATGAGTCCACCACCACTGTTTACAGAGGGCCTTGCAATGCTAAAGCAAAACTCAAATATAACTCCCCACTCCACGAAGTACGGAAAATGCTCTGTGATATAATATGCTTTTAAAATAGGCCGGAAGTTTCCTGAGAAAAGTCAAGGAGCATTTCAGTAAACTTGAACACGCGTTCTAGGAAGGAGTGGCATGCTTTTTAAGCCAGGGGTGGCTGGGACTTGCTTCAGCCCTGGCATATTGGAGCAGCTCTTAACCAGTTCCTGTCCTGAGCACAAGGCGGAGCTGTGGGCATTGTCGCGGGCATCCCCCGGTGAACGGCGACACGGGCAACGGAAACCAAGCAGTCTTCATGCTGTAGCTCCAGTCCTTTCTCGTCCACGTACAGAGCAGATCGGAATGCCAGCGAGTGAGGTGACCTCGTAGGTGGGAAAAGCCTAGGTCTGTGCTAAGTTCACGAAACAAAAATGTTTTAAAAATTGGGGTCTTAATATTTATTCCAGATTATTTCCAGTCTTTTGTCACTGAGCATAGATGTCATGCCTCTAGAGTTGAGAATCACTGTAGTGTGCCTTGTCTTTCAGCACGTTTTTTCACGCGGGTGTGAACCTGTGCAGCTGGGAGTAGTAATTCCTCTGGGAACATATGGGCATTGGGAAGCCATGGACCTGTCTGTCCCATGGTATAAGCACTGACTATAAAAAGATAAAATCACTGAACCTCTGCAGGTCTCTTCTGGAGAGACAGAACATACATATTTTCTATAGCAGAACTATAAGCAAACTTCTAAGCTATAGTAGGATGTTTTGGGCCAGATTTTGGAAAGCCAAGGTTTAGGTAATCCAGACTTAGAATGAACTATAGTCAGAAAACAAAGGTACCTGGGGACACTGTCCTCTTTCAGTTGTCACAGCCCTTCCTGCGGTTTGATGCATATGATCCAGTCATAACTTCTGCTCTAATCAGGTGATCTCCATTCCTTCCGCCCCCCTCCCACACCCCTGTGTTCCCTCATGTCCATGGATGCTCTGCTTTCTCCATCTCTCCTGCAGAGTCTAATTCTACCCACTCCTCAAGGGGGAGCCCAAGTCCTACTTTGACTGCAAAACTTCCATGATGTCTCCAGTCCATGTCTGTGTTTCTTTTAGTAACTTATTGTTCTTAACTGTTTGTATCAGCATTTCCCCCACTTTTCTGTCATTATTAGTCCTATTCATTTGGCTTTGTTCCCCATTGCTTTCTATCCATTCTACTGAATTGCCCTCTAAGGTCTTGATTCATTAATTTAGGTTGTCCACCCACGAGCTGAAAACCCAGGATTGTGGTTCTTTGAATAACCTTTTTGATAATTGAAGGCGATCAAGGTCTGTCTGCCTGTGGAATTCTCCATCAGGGCTCGAATTCTCTGTCTTCTCTCTGAATCTCTTTAAAACTATGTGAGGAAACCACGTACTGTCTCTATGTAAACACAGCCTGTTCTGTGCAAAGGCATTTTTAAAAAGAAAAGTGGGTTTTTTTTCTCCACATTGAAAAAGTGTTTAAAGCAGGAAGGAAAATGGAGCTGCTGCAGGTTTCTAGGCTAATTTAAGGCAACACAATTCAAAATTCCTCTTCTATACAAAATAACTTTTCTATCCAAACTGAGCAGATGATTTGCAAGACGCGAGTGAATCAGTTGTCAAGGGTATTATCTCTCGGGGAAAAAATATCAGACACGGCACCTCATTCAGACAGAAAGCCCAGTCAAGTTGTCTGGAATGTACGTTGTTCTCGCTTTTTTTTTTAAATGAGGGGTGGGGGTAGGAATGCTGAAGGAACAGTGTAGGGAAGGGCAGCCTAATAATTCCTTCAGGACCAACGGGATCTTTCTCTCTAACACTGTGACTTGTTTGAGAATTTAGGCTGCAAACAAACTTTGCTGTTTCAATTTAGCCATCATTATAGGTGGGTGTGGGGTGCTCTGAATAGCCGGGTCTATGAACCCTGAATACATACAACTAAATTCTGCCCATTACAGGACAGTTAACATGTGCACCAATTTTCAAAGAGCTGTACAAAGATTGCTAAAATTAAACTCATGCCATATTCAGGCGCGCATGAAGAAGAGTGTAGCTGCTTCCCTTTTTTCTGAGCAGTCTGTTGTTTCTCCCCACATAAGCCTCCGTCCTGATGGGTAGCCAGAAAGAAGGAAAAGAAGCCCCATATTTTTAGATTACTCCAGTAAAATCATTGTAATCAATAAAGTTTAAAAGTCCCGTTAGTGAGCTGTTCAGCATATTTTGGTGAAAAGGCTGTCTCTCTGCACCTTCTCCCTGCTCCTCAGCAAGAGAGCCTGTGGGTATATGGTGAGTGGCGTGGGCCCTGGACCCTGGCTAGGAGGCTCTAGTGCCAGGGTGGGACTTTTCTGATCCTCACTGGTGTTGCCTGGTGGGTGGGCAGCCAGTTACCTAGCGACCCCTGAGGTGACCCAGGGGTACTCTGCTGAGCGGGGGGCTGGTGTAAGTGGGTCTTTCTCTCCTGGCTTGATCGGTGCCTGGCGGTCCTACCTGGCTGGTCTGCCCTCCTAGACGCCTGCTGGCGTTGCTCATGCTCCTGAGGGTCCGGCTGTGGCTTCCACAGACCCTTCACTCAGCTACACAGCCTCGGCTGGAACAGTTCCTTCTCACCTGGCTTTTCCTGATTCTAACTGATTTTAAAATCATCCCTGTTCATTGTTCTTACTGTTATGCGCATTGCACTAAAT